CTCATAGGAGAGGTGCTCCAGCCCTCGGATCATCCTCGTGGCTCTCCTCTGGACACGCTCCAGCAGGTCCATGTCTATGTTGAGGACTCCAGGGAATTAATAAAGTAGAATTAACTGATTTAAAAATATTTAAGTAACTTATTAAAAAAAAAAAAACACAACAGAAATCATCTAGCATCTACAAAGACAATCTCTGTGGTTTTGTTTGTTTTCTTAAGAAAAGCTGAAGTTGTATGAAAAGAGAAACAGGTACTGAACTCTGAATAGATTGAATATGACAAAGACTATGTTGTTAACTGTTTTAAAATTCACCATATAGTCTTAAAACATTTTAAAATATTGAACTCTTGGCTTTTTCTACCCTTGCAGTTGAATAACATGAAATTTTTAACAAAGAACTGCATTCTACCCAATGTTTGAACAACTAGAGTGAATTTTAAATCCAAATGAATCTTTATTATCTCCCATGAGGAAACACCTTTTAAGAGTTTCCAAGCTCCTGCTATACAATGAAAACAATTCCTGAAAAAATACACACAAGATGTTACAAGGTGGAAATGCAGCGAACAGCGATGCAACTGACGTCCACAAGCACTAGTTCTTTGTCATCTAGAGTTACTCAGCCCTGAAGAATGGAAGGGCTGCTGACACAAGCTCAGAAAGAAAGGATATAAAAAGGTAAATCCCAATTGTCCCTTCGAACTGCTGCTTATCAGGTTGAGGCTGATGAGATGACAGAAGTCAGACTTCTCCCTTTCTGGCATGACGTTTGTTGTATCTGAGCTTGAACTGAAGTTAATATAAGAATGCAGAGGCGACCAAAATGTCTGCTCTTGCATGTAAAAATGGTCTTGGAGAAGAAGATCTCAAGTAATCGTAAGAGATGCCTCATGATGACAGATTACTGCTGAATATTTAAAATGAACACAACAACTTGCCTGTAAATTATGGAGACAAGTGATGCAGATGTCAGCGGAAGATACTCTGTCCACAAAACAGCTTTATAAGCAGAGAATCTCCACAACAAAACAACAGGGAAAACAGATCTTGAGATCTTATCAGCTATATCCAGCGTAGACTGTGAATATAACCTTGAGAATATGAACCTCAATTTTCATTTAGTTATTTGTTAAACAAAAAGTATTCCCACATAAGAACCTAACCTTGACAGGAACCTGAAGTCATGCTAGACAATCCCTATCTTATCTGGAAAGGCAGAACTTTCCACAAGACAGCAGAAACTGTCTTCCGCACCAGCTGTCTTATATTCTTTGTCAATCTGAGAAAGCTAACAGCTTCAGAAGCTGTTACAACAGCTAGAGAAAGAAACAGAAGGTGGTATAAAGGAACTCCTTATTTTCAGGAGATAGGCATTTTTATTTTTTTTTTTAATAAGAGATTAGCTGACTTCAAATTAACCTTACTATATAACCAGAAAACACTTGCCAATACTCTACTTGAAGGTAGTTAGGTGCATTTACACTAAGAGTTCCTTTTCTCCTTGCAGGGAACACCTGGACAATATACTTATACCTGTTCCCACAGCTTCTGAAACAAACACGATAAACTGGTAATCCTCTCCATTGTACCAAGGTAAGACTTCCAAAGTGACATCAGTTGCAGTTGATCAGTTAAGACACTGAATAATATGGAGAGTGCATTGCTTCCAGAAAAAGATGCATAGATCCCTGTCCCTGGATACGTACATCACCTTTACTCGTCCTCCGCTTCAGCGAACACAGAGAATTCAATGCCAGGAAGGATAACACACAACAGAATACAAAGTAGGTCCCAAAGAAAGAGGTCTGGTAACTCAGAATTTCTTGGAATAAGGCAGTAATTCACTACAATGTTGATGTTTAGCATACTAGTGCCTTGTTTAGTGCAGAGGCATCGCAGAAGAGCTTGTCTCCGTGCAAACTCCTACAGCAAGGAAAAGATATGAAAGAATTCTTTACATAACAGTGCTAGAGCCACAAGAAGTGAAGGGGAGGAGACAACCAACAGAGGAAAACTTTTCTGATGCAGAGGAAAGATGGAGAAAATGAAAGAAATCTCACAAGGATGAAGCAGTTTGACCAAACTCCTTGGATCCTATGATAGTGCCCTTGTCTTCCCTTACATATTTTCACAAGATGACACATCAGATTCAACCAGTGCAGAAAAAACATATATAGAAATGAATTTATTGGATCAGTACCAAAGAATTCTTTACACAAAATTTCCTAGAAAGCAGATGTTTGTTGGTACCAAAAGGAAGATACCACATTTTTTTAACACACCTCATAGAACAAGGAAATCCCAATTTTGTCAAATTAGTGGTAAGAAAGAATAAGATTAGAGCTTTGTGAAATCTGAACTTTGAGGAAAGAAAACCCTGAAGTTTCATACGCTATACTAGAAGTCTTCGCTAGTATTACAAACTCTGATAATTCCTAGTGCCATTTTATGACTGCATTGAATCCCAGAGCACTTGTATGCAGTTTTTCCATGCAAATCATACTGAGTGCCAGCCTTTTGTTTCAGCATATTCTGTTTACCGTCTCTTGATACCTAGAACACCTTTTAGGAACATTTTCCTCACAAGACATCTGACTTCTGGATTACGGGACTCAATTCAACTGTTCTAAGTAACATCTGCTAAAAAGGTAATTTCATAAGAGGAAGTTGAAGAACAAAACACTCTGACAATAAAAAGATAAGCAAGCCATATTGCTGAGATAATGGCCTCAGAACAGCAAAGTACATCTACTCTATATATTTGTGCACTGAGAATTGGCATGTCTTGTGTCAACATGGTAACTGAAAACTTTTCCCCAGCCTCAAATGATAAGGCATATGTATGGCACAGTAAAATCAAACACGAAGACAGAACTTAGTTTTATTAACTGGGTTCTGCTGTGATATCCTAAGAAATGCATTCTGTTCCTTTAAAGTAGAAGTTTTCTTTAAAATAAGTTGGCTAAGACTATGAATTACAGCTAACAGTTCAATGACAACAGCTGCTGACACAGGATCTGTGGGCCAGCTTCTCCTACACAGAGCAAGGGATTAACAAACTGACAGTAGCACATATTGTGATAATACAATATTCATGATGACATACAACTTTTCACACTATTTGAAAATCGGATAACAATTTTAAATTAAGACTCTTAAAGGGAAACCTGTATGTGGCAACACAAAAGAAGAAATGATGCTAAAGACAGCCTGGAAAATGAGTAACAAATTATTTCATTCTGAAGCATGTTGAATACTCTTCTCCCTAACAAGTCATAAAAGGTAACCCTTGAAATACAGAAAAATGCCAGAATATTGGAAAGAGAAAAAATACTTGTAGTAAGAAAATCAGAAGGAACATTTCGAACCATTTAATTCAAATAGGTTTTAAGAATTATTAATAAACATAAAACAGCTAAAGACAATATGCATTGCCTACTCCTTAAGTGATATCCTGATCAACATAAAAATTTTAGTTATCTTCAGCAGATTTAGATTAATATCAGAATATTGAATAAGTTTTATGAGCTTTTCAGCAAGTTGTTTTCCAGTTCATTGTTGACAGAACAGGAGGGAAGAATTAATAGACATTAATCCTTGGAATAGACATATTCAACTCAGTTCTCTCTGTGAGGTAATACCTCTAGCTGTGAGACCAAGTATTAGTTTAATTTAGCATTAAGGTAGAAAAAACACCCCTTCATTTTTGTTTGATTTATGCTCATGCTCGAATTTTAATTGGGGCGGTTAGCAATCACAGAATCCCATTCAAGAGAACAAAGCACCACAGTTATTTTAAGATCATACTTATTACAGCTTACTATCGAGACCTTTTTTTCTAAGCTAAGTTGCAAGGTGATGTTACTGTACTGGAACCACACAAAAGAATACTCAAAAGATGGAACTCGATGAGTGAGACTGTGAGTGACCCAGAATCCCACACAGCTCTTATCTGGTAGGGTGACAACTTCCATGAGATTTGGTGTGAACATAGCTTTCTGGAAAGTTACCAACGAAATGAAAACGTTTTTTCGCTGACAGTGCATTTCCTCTGCCTACAGTCTATGACTTCTACATCTGAAAATGCCTACAGAAGCTGTGTTTTCAAAGACCTATTTTGTCTTACAAGCACATATATGTGTATATACTATACACACATATACATAGACAACAGTTTACATTGCAAGGCCAATTACAATCTGCATTTTGCCCTCATTTATGTCGACTAGTGTAAGCAGCTTTGTAGACAGTGCAGCTCAAAGCTTCTGTATCCATTTGTATACAAACAGTACTAATGCTTTTGTTTCCAAGTCATAGCATTTCCTCCCAGAAAAACTCAAGTCCAAATAGACATCTGTAAGACTCTAAATTCCAGCTGCCTCCTTCCTATATCCGGTGGGACAAAATTCCCCTTTGTATACAGATTTCCCCTTTGTATCAACTTCTTAATTGCATTTTTGGCCGGTTCCCTCCAGCTCTCTATTCTTCAGGTGGTGACTCTTTTAAGAAAGTCCTGGTATAACGTACATATTAGACTTATTTTGACAGAAATGTGACTTTCCACTTTTGAAATTGAATATATGACAAATACCTTTTAATAACTACTATTACTCATTCGACCCTAATACGCTATACTTACCATCTTAAGAATACTACACACGGCAATGGGATAAATGAGGATTTTTTTTTAGTTTTAGACTTAGGATAGCAGTTGGATTCCTCATTTATCTTTAGCTAAGCATATAACTATCTGTAGAAATATCTGCTAAGCCTAAGTGTGAACCTGTGAAGTTACACTAATCATACAATTAATATATCATTGTGACAACATTTCAGTACATGTGATTTTTTGATCAAAAATACTCTTAGTTTGTATTAATCGTCATATTTTTTGCTAATTACACTTTTTAATGCACAGCTTAACAAATTTAACTTTTTCTGAATAATGAGATTGCTTTCATCCCTGCTCCCGAATTTAAGACAATTTGAAAGTAACAAACCTCTCTTGCAATGTTACTCAGAGCTTCATCTTCTGCAGAAAACCTGTCTTTCACTGGAGTTCTCTTCCGTCCTGATCCAGGAGTTCCCATTTTTATTCTCTGGTTCTGTATTTGCAAAAACAGACAGGAAAAAGCTCAGTTTTCAGATCTGGAACTAAAAACAAACAAACAATCCACACCACAAAATGTAATGAATTTTCCAATTCTTCAGCTATATAGTACTCAAAAAACCTACATGCCATTGGCACAAATTTACCCAACAGTTGTATTTCTGGCAAAACTTTATCAGAAAATCTTGTGGCAGCTTTATAGAACACCACTTCATCCTACAAGGCGCACACACAACATTTTTCTACTAAACAGAACCCATGAGTTTACCTATGAAGTTATGCACAACTGTCAACTACTCCTAGCTCAAGGACCTCTGTACACTGTCACTTTTCGCAGCTCCTAAAAATAAGTATCCATTTAATTTCATTGATGTGAAGAAAACCTATAGGAAACAATGGTTTCAAGAAGTAAACTCACACAATCATTAGAGCTCTCTCCAAAGCAGAAAAGCTATACAGCACACAAACTTTTCAAATCACCCAAGCAGGTAGATGGGGCTTATTTATATTACAATGCAGGTGTTCTCATCCAGCTGCAACTGAATGAGAACTGCAGTCTTCTATGCAAGTAGAAGTTTTACTATAATACAAGTGAAAACATTTCTAGACAAAGAAACATTCTTTTGCCTAACAAGAATCCTAATTTGGGAAATGAAAAGAGAAACACACCAGGATCATATACACAGAATAATACGTAAAATACCCTCTTAGTCCTCCAGAAACCTCTGTTATCAATTGCAAGAATGCGAAAATCACCGCCAAACCAAGATATATCACATAGGGCCACTGAGAGCAAAACATTACTCAACAAAATGATCTAAGTTTGGTTTGTTGGGTTTTTTTTTTCCCAAATATCCTAAAGAAACTGTACTTCCAGACATCCAGGTCCTTCCAAATGTCAGATGAGAATTTGGTGGTAGTCCAGCTATTTGATGTAAACAAAGTAAATGTCCCACACAGGGCTTGGGAAAACACCTTATTTAGAACAAAATTTTTTTCATGCAGATAGAAAAGGTCTAGAAGGGAACCACTATTGGCTAGCCTTTTAAAACCTGAACTGGTGCAAGAACTATCTTTCATGCTGGGTCTAACCAGCAAACATTCAAGAATTCCTTACAGTTTAATCAAAAGGAGGGGAGGGGCAGGTAGGATGTGACAGGGGTATTTTTGGGAAGCACAGTTTTTACTTTATTATTTTTATACAACAATCACAAAGCCAAAATATACAGGGTACTTTCTGGCACTCAAAGAAATCAAGTAGCATCACAGCTTTGCTTTTTTATTTTTTAATTTTAGCTTCTACACTTCTCCTCTCTGTAACTTTATGCCGCCAGTTCTCTCTTTTCCTTGCAGGGAGGAAGTCTCTTATTCTGCTTCAAATTCTGCAGGTATTTCTCTATTTTTTAAGTGCTTTGATGAGGGAAATAGAACATTTGCTGATGAGAGAAAAGATAACAAAGGCTTGAAACTAAATGTCCCCCTTCTTAAAAGCTCCCACACAGGACAGATACAATTATGCAATACTCTAGTTCATTTCCAGTTGCTGTTCTGAGATCAAAGCTAAACACGCTCAATACTGCAGGTACACAACTACTCCATTGCGTAAAAACCTTAAAGGAGAGCTTGCAATGTTCACAGATGAGTAGCAGAGCCACAGTATCTGAAGGGGCTTGAGAAGACACATCCAGTAATGAACACACTCCTGATGGGAAAAAGTGGACGTAAGTACCCCCCTGGATTCCATCCATTCCTCCACAGGCTGCTCATTCATTTTGCAGTGCAGAGTGTTGGGATAAAATACAGGCATTTGGACCAACAGGGAGGACTCGCCTGCCAGGGAGTGTTTTTACCATCTGCCTGTGGCTCATGGTTCAATTTATTTGTTACTCCCCCACAACACGGATTTATTGTTGTTTGTTTCGGCTTTTATTATGGTGTTAGGTAGCAGAAAATTTTCAGGAAGAAATACAAGATTCTAGCCTCACTCTTATCAGAGATTGAGATGGGTCCTGGAAGTAGGACAGCAGAGCTAAGACTCGGGGTGAAGGGAGACTCTGAGACAGGGCCTGGGACAAATATTCCCCTTGTTAATCCATTCAGTAAAAGTCTGTCTTTTTAGTCTTAAAAACAAGTGAACTTACATTTTGTACTCAGAATAATTTAGATATTTAAATGCAGAAAGCAGTTTGGAGATCTCTGTGGCAAAGGTTCAACCTCAGAGCTACAGGTTGCTCCCCACATTCAGAAGAAACGTCTCCAAAAATCTGCATCTTTTTTCATTAATTCTTATTGGCTGACTTCAAATAATAAAAGCAGATTGGGCCCAAAGTAGAAGTTGCATCAACACAAAATAATACTCCCTTACTACAGAAGGTTTTCACAAGGTTATATATTAGCCAAAAAAAAAAAGGAAAACAATCAATAAATTATGTTATTACAATAGATCAGTTCATGTAAGCAACAGACCTCAAACCTATCTACTATAAAAAAAGGTTGCTAAGCATGAAACGAAATTCTTTTAACATGTATGTGAAGGGTTGCATTTCTTAACTGAATATTTACCACATAACTAAAAACTGCAGAATAACTGCACATACCATAGACTTGAACTGCAGTTGCGGACATCCTTTAAACAACATACCACTTCTAATGGACAACTTCTTGTTAATTCAGTGAGATTCTCTTAACTGGCAGACTGATTTGGGGAATTTAATGCAATAGGTTATCTAGCTATTTTTAGTATAGCTATGTTCAGACTGACACTAAGTACTAACATATACATATAGAGTAGTGAATTTTGAAGTTAGATGCTGATGCTTTAAACGAGCAAAAAGCACTTCATCTCAGTCTCACTGTAACATAATTGTGCCAAAGTCACTGTGGAGGAAGGCAAGTGTGGCATCCTTTCCGGCCATCTGCCACACTTCTCACATAGGATGAGCACAGAACTTGTGACTGAGCCCAATGCCCAAAACAGAAGCGGGGACAGATTACCTAGAAGGTATACAGAAATGTTGCCTTTGCCTACAAGGTGGATTTAGAAAGCCAAAGCTCAGCTGAAGTGAAAACTAGCAAAGACTAATTAGGACAAAGAGAAAAGCTACTGTAAGAACACCAGGAACAAGGGAAAGACTAAGAAAACTGTAGTGCCATTGCTTAGTGACGCAGGGGACGTAGTGAGTGCTTGCGAGGTGCACTCTCACTGGCACACGCATTATGGCACTGCGTAGAACAGCACAGATACATGCAAATCTAGAGCACCCACACCTCCAACAGGAATCACGTGCAAATAAGAGACTGTGAAGTTGAAGAACGGAGGGTAGGTAAACATCAGCCTAGAGAGGCTGTGAAACGTCCAGCCCTGAAGATACTCAAAACTTGACTGGACAAGGCTCTGAAAAACCTGCTCCAATTGACCAAACTTTAGACAAGGGGTGACCTCCAGAGGTTCCTTCCAAAATAAAAGACTATATAATTCTATATTTATTATTGCTGCCATCTTTGAAACTAAATCTCTATATAAGCTTTAATACGATGTTTTAATATTCTTTCAAGGGTCTTGTCACAATTTCTTCCATTCCATGTAACTTTTAATTAAGATGATGTATGTCAGAGTATTTCATGTCTTGTTATACAGTTCAGTACTAAAGAGCTCTAGTTCTATTACTATTAGACTCATTAGTCTAATAAGAAATGTATCATTTCCATAACTTGCTAATTACGGGAAAAATTATTTTGCTGCATGTTATAAAGAACTTAATATATGCTGTAACATTAGAATTTTCAAGAAAAAATAACTAGAGAACTCCAAAACAAAACCGCATGAGTAAGTTTGTTACACTAGCCTTCTTGAAGTATAAAAGATAATAAAAGGAAAGTACCTTATGATTTGCTGCATTTACAGTTCAAAATACTCAAGTTATATCTATTACATGTTTATTTCTTACTGTAGGCTGGGTTATGCACTGTATTACACAACTGATGAAGTGGCATCCTGTTGTATTTCATTCTAAAAACCTGAAGTGCCTGAAGTCCCCTAACAACCCAGAAGACCTGTGAGGAAACCCTCAAGTTCCCTCTCTCATTCACCTTCACTTCAGGCATATATAAATTTTATCTCTTCCCCAAGCCGTTGCTGTCTACTCTTCTTCCTAACACCTTCTGACTAAAGGTTCTCTTTGTTTCTTTTTTGCTTCCTAGAAAAAAGCGTGACCTGTCTTACGTAAAAGAGAAGCTACACTACAATTTAAGGCCCTATCACTCACCACCTTCAATGGCACCACCTGTTCTGATGCCTGGGTCTACGCCAGTGTATTTGGCATCACATACACGCGAGGCATTCAGATACTAGTGTGAACAGGCTATAAATAAACAGACTGAAACTCTCCTTTTCTCTTTCAAGTAAGACCACAAGATAATTAAAATTCACCTGCATAAGAACAGCCTCTGTATATTTGATCCAACAACAGAAAAGTGCAGCCCTGCTTTAGAACCATTACCTGTTAGAACCAGCCTCAAAGTTTCCTAATTATTACCAGAATATAAGCCAGCAGCCCCTGCGTTTCAAGACCAAAGCCACAAACATAGCAGTTTGTATCTTTAAATAAGTAAATTCCTTTAATCCTAGGAAGGAGTTGCACCTTTTATCCATAATATCCAGGCAAAGTTTCTTGCCGTTTCAGTTGCCCACTTGCAAAGTTACCGTTTTTATCCGCTGCATATCTTTAAACATCTGAATTGAGCGGACCATAAAGGAGGTTCTACAGAATACTGCAATAGGGCCAACTGCCTCTGCTGCTGGAAATGGGTATCTTTGACATGTGATACGATAAACACTACTGCTAAGTTTTTCATTATAAGTATCATCTGAAAGTAATTTCACAGTATTAGAGTACATAAAACTCTGTAACAAACCTAGGTATTTATCTGCCTCTTAACAAACAAGACATAGCGCTAAGCATTTTCTCAGAAAGACCCAAA